AGATTTTTTTTTTTCATTCCACACATAGAGGCAGCCTTTTTAATCCCTGTGTGTGTGTGTGTGTGTGTGTGTGTGTGTGTGTGTGTGTGTGTGTGTGTGTGTGTGTGTGTGTGTGTGTGTGTGTGTGTGTGTGTGTGTGTAGGCAGAGCGGTTCATGTTTGAGGGGGCAGAGATCCCTCTTGTCCAGTCCTGCGCCGTGTTCATCACCATGAATCCTGGGTACGCCGGACGCACGGAGCTGCCTGACAATCTCAAGGTTTGAAAAGATCATTTTGAATTCGCTGTGTCACACCAAAGATAAGCAGATGGGGGTTAATCAAATGTTACACTCTACAGGCACTGTTTCGTCCCGTGGCGATGATGGTACCTGACTACGCTATGATTGCTGAGATCTCCTTGTACTCATTTGGCTTCAGTGATGCCAAAATCCTCTCCAAGAAGATCACCACCACCTTCAAGCTCTCCTCCGAACAGCTCAGCGCTCAGGTTTCGTATGGACTTGAAGAAGATCAGAATTAGGATCGGTTTAATGTCCAAATACATGTTATATATCCCAAGAAAAATGCGCTAATTTGAAAGGGAAATCGCTGTAGGTAATAATATACTTTGACTGACTCTTGCTCTTGTTTATATGAAGGATCATTATGACTTCGGTATGAGAGCGGTGAAGACTGTGATCTCAGCTGCTGGAAACCTCAAGAGAGAAAATCCTAATATGAACGAGGTATAAAATGTTTCTTCTGTTCATAATGGCAATAATGTTTAAGAAATATGACGCAAATATTAAATGATATACCCCTAAAAAAAATACCCCTCCTTTTAAATATCTCATTCTTCTGCAACCTCCCAGGAGCTGATCTGTCTGCGAGCCATTCAAGATGTCAACGTACCAAAGTTTTTACAGGACGACCTGAAGCTCTTCAACGGTATTGTGTCCGATCTTTTCCCAAAGACAAAACAGGAGCCAATCGACTACGGCACACTGGAGGAGTCCATGCGTGATATCTGCACCAAGAAGAACCTCAAAGATGTGGATGGTTAGTGTTGCTGAAAGCACTGAAATTATGTTCTCAGATTTCCAAGTACCTATGACAACTATTAGGGCCACGGTAGGCCAAGAGCAAAGAGGAACATCTAAACTTCTGGGATTAAAGTGGAAATTATAAAAGAAAACATTTGTGATATTATCTGAGATTAATTTATGAAGTCAAACTTTTCCCTGAAATGCACAGAAAACTATTTTTTTTTAAAAAGTAAATTGGACACTTTTAATCTAGGGATATTTTGAGATTTTCCTCGTAGTATTATGTCCCTTCCACGGCTCCGTGATATATATATCTGTTGTATCTATAAAGGCTCTGATTTGTTGTCGAAGGTCCCTGTATTTTTAGGATGAGTATTTAAAAGTACTGTTGTGTTTGCAGGGTTTATTTCTAAGTGTATTCAGCTGTATGAGACCACTGTGGTGAGACACGGCCTGATGTTGGTGGGACCCTCTGGATCCGGTAAAACCAAGGTAACTTGTTTACAGTTTAAATCACAGTCCTCCAACGTTGGAAATTATTTTTGTTTTTGCATGTAAGCATCACTGTTGTGTCTGTCTGTCTGTCTGTCTGTCTTTCTGTCTGTCTGTCTGTCTGTCTGTCTGTCTGTCTGTCTGTCTGTCTGTCTGTCTGTGTTAGTGTTATGAGGTTCTAGGTGCGGCGATAACAGCTCTGAAGGGCCAGCCCTCTGTGAGCGGCGATGTGTACGAAGCGATTCAGATATATGTCCTCAACCCAAAGTCTATCACCATGGGACAGCTCTACGGGGAGTTTGACCTGCTCACACACGAGTGGTAAGTTATAATGTCTTCCTCAAAAACTACGAAAATAAACGTTTACAAATACCAACATATACTATAAACAGACACACTTTTCTCCACCCCTACAGGACAGATGGCATCCTCTCCGCTGTTATCCGTGCAGGTGCATCATCCATGGACACTGTGAAAAAGTGGTATATGTTTGATGGGCCAGTGGACGCAGTTTGGATTGAGAACATGAACACTGTGCTCGATGACAACAAGAAACTGTGCCTCAGCTCGGGGGAAATCATCAAGCTCAGTGAGGTAAGTTTACCTTTTCACAGTCTTCATTTTCTCCCTGTTGCTAAACACACAGTATACAATGGGTGTTTCTCAATGTCGAGGACGCTTCCTTCGTAGGACATGTCTTCCGAGTCACTTCCTTCAGAAAACGAAGAATGGTGGAACAGGCTAACAGGTGTGCAGGTGTGCGTCATAAGCGAGGCCCTNAAAATCCGGTACCACTTTACAATGAGACTACCCTTATAAAGGTTTCATAAAAATGGTTCTTAATGATTAATAAAGTGTTTACAACCTAATTATAAACCCTTTATGAAACCTTTATAAGGGTAGTCTCATTGTAAAGTGGTACCGGATTTTTCAACAATTGTAATGTTATTCTGTCAAATTAATTAGATTCTGTTAGATCATCTGACTACCTCTATCATCCCAGCCTCAGCCATGAGGATGCCCTGGAAGACTTTGGACAGGTCTCTGAGGTTGAAGGTGTAATGGGACTTGGCTGGAGTCGGGAGGAGCTGGGAGGTGATGGTGGAGTAGACTCGGATTGTAGCGTCTACGAGATGCTCATTCAGAGGCTGGATGGCTGGCACAGGTCCTGATGGAAAGAATTGCAGTATAGAAGGGATAATATTAGGCAAGGCAAGGCAAGGCAATTTTATTTATATAGCACTTTTCAGCACGTGGCGATTCAAAGTGCTATACAGATTAAAAGCAAACAACATTTAAGAACAAATACAGCATAAATACATTATTAAAAAGGCATTTAAAAACAGGCATAATAAATAAGCAAAGGTAATGAAATAAATTAAATAAATAAACACAGCAGGTACAGAATACATGACTGAAAAGGCATACTGTAGTGTGAGTATGGGCAGCGCAATTAAAAGCAGCGGCAAATAGGTGCGTTTTTAGTCGGGATTTAAAAATAGGAAGTGTTTCGGCGGACGTGCACGATTTAGGCAGTTTGTTCCAAATTGTTGGGGCATAATAACTAAAAGCTGTTTTATATATGTTTTATATTAATAATATGAAAATCTATTAACTGGATTTCGAGACGATATTTTATCAGAAGACACATCCACAAACTCTGGTCAACACTTGTTGTTTTCAAGTGTGCCTTTTAAATTAGCTTTATGTATATTATGGCTTAAAATGACAATTAGTCAGACATTTCAGTTTTGTATCGCCTCATATACTGACTGATTATAACTGACACTCTACACTCCTAATCTAATGATGTTCTCTCTGTCCCTGACTTACTGCCTGGTTCTCTCTTACTCATACATCCATCTGTAAAAAGCACAAAGATTAAGTTAGAAACTGTATTAATTATTTTTGTACAGACTAATGTTTGTAGTCACTAACGAGAGAACCCCCGACTCACTCATCCAACCGCCCAGAATGGTGGAGAAAATAGTTTTCTTGCTGGCATCGTCCATTTCAGTGAAGGACAAGAAGTTGAAGTGGCGTGTGAAGCGCTGGGTGATGGGGTTTCGGCCTCCACCTGGGGGTCCCATGGCACAGGCAAAATTGATGTCCACTATTTGCCTGAATGTCCCTGTTCAGAAAAGACAGGAAAACAACAAAGAAGCTCAATCTGAAGAGATGCCAGCAGTCAGTAACGTTATACAAAAGTCAATGATATAGGTTTTCATAAATGAGAAAGGGAGAAATATGTATAAGGCTGATGGGTCCAGTAGTATGCAGGATTAGCAATGAATAGATAGTGAGATGGATACACATACTGTACTAACACACATAACCAAACACATTATCTTCCCATAACGGATAATTAAGACATGAAGAAACACTCTAGAGCAATGTACTGTTAGTGCGATAGGCAACAATGAAAATCAAAAGTAAAGGAACCCATGATGGGAAAAGGCCTCCAGTATTCTCACCTATCTGTTTCCTGTCGTACCAGCCTCCATGGTCCATCCACTGCCTCAGCAGCTCAATCGGAGGCTGAGCGCCATAGGTCTCCAACATGGGCATGTTCAGGTCATCAATGAACAAGATGAAGTGCTTTCCTATTGGAGGTCCAAACACTCCTTTCCGCCTGACACACACACACACACACACACACACACACACACACACACACACACACACACACTTGATAGGGATTAAAAAGGCTGCCTCTATGTGTGGAATGAAAAAAAAAAATCTGATTCTTTGCTTGTATAAAACAATATTTACAAATGTCAAAACTAGCAATGTATGATATTAAACTGTTTAGTAATAATAATAAAAACAATAATACCATGTTTAATGCTTAACAGATGACTGAAACATGATAACCTATGTTGGTTTTTACATTACATTATATAACATAGTTAAGGTTATTCAACTCAAAAATATAAAACATATCAAACTAATACAGCAAAACAAACAAACGTCTTTTTAAATGCACTAGAAATACAACATACAGTATATACAATATGTACATGGAAATACAGACTGCACTTATGCATAACACAAGCACTCTGTTGAAAAGTAAATGCATTTCTAGTGAATCAGCTTCTCACCCTTTGCATTTGGGCTTTTTGTATGGTGGTGATCTGCTGCGCCACAACAGACAACACCTCCACATCAATACGATTAAACTCATCAAAGCATGCCCAGGCCCCGGAGCTGCGGAAAAGGCAGACAGGCAAGAAGGCATCCATGAATGTGGTTAGCTACAGATTTTCTTTCACACTTTAGTTACTGCCTCTCACCTGGCCAGTCCTTTGAGAAGCTTGCCCATAGCAATGAAGTCCAGCTGATCAGAGCAGTTGAAAACAACGGTCTGGATAGCCAGTGCCTTTCCCAGATCTTTAGTGGTTTCTGTCTTCCCTGTCCCTGCTGGACCTGCAGGAGCCCCCCCGAACTTCAGGTGTAGAGCTCCTGTTAGGGTCAGGTAGCATCTGGAAGGGGCAGGGAATAGTGTATTAAAGGGAGAACGATACAAAACAGAGTAGAAAACATTATACTTTACACCTACCTGTCAGTGAGCGGGGTGATGACCAGACGTCCGGAGTTACCAAGGTACTCGTATCCGTACAAAAACTCTGCATTCACTGCCCGGATGTACAAGTCATTTTTTGTCCAGTAATATCTACAAACAGCATCACATCAGTGTCATTCTCATTCTGCATCCACAGTATTGCACACATTTAGTGTTAGAGCTAGTTTTGTGAGAATAATATTGCCACCTAGTGGAGTCAAATGCAGTCCATTAAGATAAAAGACTACAATTCCCAGCCAATTATAGGGCTATATTTGGCAATCTGTGTGCCAACAAGACACAGTTCTCAACCGTAATCATCCGGCAAAAATAAATAAATGTTTGCTGTAATGTTATTTGAGGTATGCCTCTTCTGTTTTTATTAATTTATATCTTGTATATGCATAATTTCTTTGTTGAATGTGTGTGGAAACTATTTTATTTTATTTTGATTAACCACACGAGCAGCATACCATCAATCCAGCATCACAAGCTGGACATGTTTTGACTTTGAATAAACTAATAACTGGAAGGATAACGTGTTGGACATATCTTTTTGAAATGCTTCTATAGTGGCTTTTAGAAGCGCAGGAAAGAAGCTGTGACAGATAAAGTGGACTGCAACGTCAGGAGTTACCGAACCAAAGAGCAAAGAGACATCAAAATACAAACAGCCAACCTGAGCTGGCTGATCCACTCAAAGTCATTGATGCTGGAGACCTGCAGCTCCACCAGTTTGGCTGCAACCTCCTTAGCGTGGACCTCTATGACGATGAGGGCAGACAGCACCGCCCGCTGCATCTTAGACAGAGGTCCTCTCACCAGCTGCACCAAGTCGCCCAGCTTCAGAAACAAGAGGGGAAGCCTTTAGGATGTCAGCAGACTGTGGTGTGCACAATGATCAATTCAAATGGGAGTTTAAATAATATCGTGTTTATAATGTTCAATACTGCAAGACTATACAAGGAACTCCAAGTCTTTAAAAAGTACCAAATGCAAAAAAAATCTTTTTAAAGTATACTGTAGATTGTAAATATTGTGAATGTCAATCAAGGTTATGAAGCTCAACCTATCGGAAAGCCTTTGGCTCTCAGTACATACTTTATCACAAATGCTCAGAAGCCTCTCCTAAAGTTATAACTTTTTTGCAAGATTTATACAAAATATTTAATACATTTGGGAGAAAAAAAAACATTTGAACTGCGATAAACTCCAGGGCTATTTCATTTAATATCCATCAACAGTTCAACAACATACTTATATAGATGACTGAGTGTAGATGCTTGAACATGTAATTAAATAAAGAAATGACTTAAGCCAGACACCCGACTTATTGGGCATACATCATGTATGATATCTTTGTAATTGAAAGAGTCTTTTTTTTGTTCTATGAGGCCTTTGGGAAATGTAATTTGATAACACTTAAGAGTTAGACAGATGTGTAGTTCCCTGAAAGACCCTTATTTCAGTTAATTTCCCTTTTTTTAAATCTGAAATGGAAAATATCCTATGCTCTATTAGTTTACAAATCTGAAGAGGTGAAGTATCTGGAGAGGAGATGAAAGGAGAGGAGAGGAGAGGAGGGGAGAGGAGAGGAGAGAGGAGAGGAGAGAGGAGAGGAGAGGAGAGGAGGAGAGGAGAGAGGAGATAGGAGATG